ATATTCACTGCCGCAGAATGCAGTAACATTAACGCCCAACCGTAGCCCATCCCAATTGCCTCTTCTGTTTTCACACTGCCATTCACCGATCGATTCCGTCCAATTTCGCCGAACGCCGTGGCACCCTCCCTGTGTTTACGACCGGCCGCCGGCCGGCCGACGGTTACTGGTTTTACGTTTTCCGCAGATTGTGCTGATGGGCGTCCGTTTTGTCTCCGAAATTGCCCAGGTAATGTCCGGTTCATATGTATATAAGGCTGGTCCGGGTCCAGAGCGATAGTTGTCCAGTGCAGCTCTTCAATATCCTCACATCATGAACTTCTCTGTAAGTAGTCGCGCTCGGACATTGTACACAACGGATTCAACGTGTATAGGAGAACAGTGCGGTTATTGGTGTTCTGCCCAGCTTGGCTCGAACCTACGTTCAAAGTCAATCAAGTCCTACCTTTAAGGTCAAGCCCTAAGATCAAGCCCTAAGGTCAAGGCCCGAGGTCAAGACCAAAGGGCAAAGCCTAAGATCAAGACCTAAGGTCAAGGTCTAAGATAAAGATTTTAGGTAAAGGCCTTAAAAGTCAAGACTCAAGACCTATGGCCAACACCTTAGGTCAATATCTAAGGTCAAAACATAAGGTCAAGTTGCTGTTTTTTTTTTGGGGGGGGGCATTAAGGTCAATCCCTAAGGTTTTTGTGCCTAAGGCTAGGAAACCCTGTAAATGAACATCTTGTACCGTGTGGCTTCCTGTGCCGTGTCGTGTAGCAAGGGTCAATGTTTGTACCGTGTGGTGCTCTGTACCGTGTGCCGTACCGTCCACTGACATACCGCATCCCATACCGTGGTCTGCACCGTATAGTGAGGTACCGGATCCCGTACCATCTAGTAACGATTTATGTGCCATTACCGTACACTAACGGTCCCCGTCGATAGGCGTTATCACAAGTGTATTCGCGGCCATTGGGGCGACGTAAGAAAAGAAGAAAACAACTAGCCCCAAGAACTTTAAATTATCAAATAGCATGCACCTTTTCCTTGATATGTAGAGAATTTACCAATAATTGTTAGAGAAAATTGCATTTAAAATCTTCCATTTATGCTTTTTTCATCGTTTGCACAGTATGCTCTTTTACTAAGCTAGAAACACTAATTAGAAATAAGTCCCGCATCATCAAGAACAATAGGGAAGGCTTGATGTGAATACAATAATCTAAACGGTTTTGTAATCCATGTGAAGACACTTCTAAAATTGCCTGTAGAAATATTAAAGGCAAAAGTTCAACCTTTTCACAAGACGGATGGCTATAAACCTATTCAACGTGTGACAACTCAGCCGGTATATCGTCGCCTACAGCCCAGCTTTCCCTAGTGACCGATAGAGGCGCTGCTATCGATGTCCGCCCGTGCCGCCTAACGTGTCGCCATTCGGTCAGCTCCGCACCGATTCGTGGTACTTTCAAGAGAGACTGCACAGTCAATTTCGAAAGTGCCGCGCATCGGTGCGGTGGATCCACCAAGCCCGACCGAGGAAGTGCTGCTGAAATTGAGAGCAACCGAACAAAATGACCGGGAGGATGGATGAGGACTGAGGAGGTCAACTGGCTCTCAAATTTAGCAGCCTCTCCTCGGTAAGGCTGGATGGATCCATCGCACCGATGCGCGGTACTTTCAAGAGCGGCTGTACCGTGTCCCGTTTGGTATACAATGACGCCCCGTACCGTATACTGACACCCCCCCCCCCCCTCCTCGGTCAGATCTACGCCCTGCTGGTGGTGCTGGTGATCGCCGTCTGTGTCGGCGTCAGCTCCGTCTCGGCCGACTACGGAGACGACGGGTACTACGGCGGGTACCGCGGATACCGTCGCAGCTACCGCCGCAGCTACTACCGCCGCAGGGGATAGACGCCGACCTCAGCTGGACTGATGTCGACCCACTCAGGCTGCCCACTGGACACTCCATGGCTGTCACTGACTCCCACACCACCGGGAGCGAACTCAGAGCGTGCTATATCGAACGATAAGGCATTTTTTTGGTGCCGTGAAACGCTCGACCACCTGACCAAATAAACTGGAAAAACTATCACTGTGGTTTGCTAGCGTATGTAAGGTGCTACAGAATGGAAAACGGTGATAATTAGCCATTTGGAAAGAACTGCAGCTCACGAGTTAACCCTCGCGGGCCTGGGCGTTTCTCGCCCCCCTTGGCGAATATTTGCGATAGCTTCCGAACACTTGGGATAGAAGCGCTAAAATTTCAGTACCTACCTTTTCCCTCATCAATTTAACATCTTCTGGAGTAAAAAGTTTGGACCTAGCCCCCTTGGTGACGTCACAGGGTCGATTTTTCTAGACCCCAGCACGGCAAACTTCGGCGTCACAGACGTGAACTTCAAATAGATGCCAAAAATGGAGTTTTAGAGATAAAGACAAATTACTGGCGGCACGGTTGTGTAGCATTTGACCAAGGGAAAATACCAAAAATAATTTTGGTGACCTGAGGTCAAAGGTCAGATCAATGAACCCGAGTCGGGATTTTACTTTTTCGCAAATAGCTTCCACAGAAATGGTCCTAGAGCTACGACACTGGTACCAACGCATTTGTCTTGTCACGTCGCGTCGAATAACATATATTTTGTTTGGAAAAGGCCAAGTTTTATGTTGACCTCATGTGACCTCGAAGGATCTTTCGTTGACCTGGACACATGAAAGGTCGCCTATATGCTTGACTTGACTTGCTGATCACGAATATGGCATCCGTTTTGTTCTTAGCATTCATTTAGAGCCTCAGGATGGCACAATTGTCTTAACTTTTATGACACTGACCTGAATAAGTGGAACAGCCTCTAGCAAGGATACTCTTCCGTGACCTTGGCCTTGGAGCAGCCTTGCATCGTAAGATGAACCGCAAATAGGGCCTGATAAGCTTAAACACATTTCAAAACATCTTGGAATTTAGTATACGAAAACGTAACGACCTTTCGTTTGGTACAGCTCCCTTATTTACGGAGTAAGACGGGAGGGGGCGGGGGACGCCCACTCTCGGGCTGCGGTGTTTGGGATTGCCCTCGGGCCCGACCGGGTCAAACGGGTCTGAAAATAAAATGGCCTTGGCGACCCAATAATAGTGTGAATGTAAAAATATATTTCATATAATACTTATCTGTTCAACAACTTTGAGGTTTCAGTTGACGCAACTGTTCCAAAGCTTAACTATGTGTGATTATACTTGACACATATTAGCCCTCACCGCATAAGGCAGGTGGGACTTTTAAGTAGTAGATATCTCGTAGACTCAATATTTTTTTTTGTAAATATCCCGTATAAAATCATCGCAATGTGCATTTGTATCTATCGTAGAAATTTCAAGAACCGGAACGGATCTGACTGAAAAATGCCATAGTCTCATATCTATTTTTCTGACATGCAAGTGTAAGAATATTAGTTTTCTGCAAGCCTTTTCACCAATAAGTGACGTCGAGTGTAAGTCATATTCCTTGATCTGCTAATAATCTGTTGTTTTTTTTTTGTTTAGCTGGCTTGCATTTTTTATCTCGTAGTTTTAAAAGCCTTGCTTAATACGGAATATTTTCCGCGAGAGTCCGATCTTTGGGTAAATTGGAGCGCTTTAGCCGTTTAGCGTATTTTGGAACAATTTACGTACTACAGTCGCATATGCTTACATAAACATCATGTGTTCTCCAATTGGGACGTTACGGGTTCTTGTGGGTTGTTGAAAAATTCACCAGCCCCGGTAATGAGCGTAAATCGTATCAAACCAGTGTCGTATCATGTCGTAAATGACGTATCAAACCAACGACCAATATTTTCGAGGAAAAGTGCAGCTTCTGCAGAAAAGGTAGTGGTATTCAATATTACTTTACTAATAGTGGTATTCATCGATTCAAAATAAGACTTTAGCCTTATCGTTTGTCAACCTTGATAAATAGCTAATGGCTGGTAACTTTGCCAGTTGCCTTTGTTGACTTTGCCTCTCGAATCTTGTCTCGAATAATGTTGCTAAGTTACTAAAACGTTAATGTTACTAAAACGCCTTTTGGGCGAAGAACGAGCGAGCGAGATAGTGAACCTTGCACGTGCGGAAGGGCGAGAGGGTACTTCCAACGGGCTTGTGCAAAGCACCCTTCTAACCGGTCGCTAGCGGTGTACCAAATTTCAACGCAATCGGCCCAGACGTTCCTGAGATCTGGAAGCGGCATCCTGCACGTGCGCACGTGCAAACGGGGTCCAAAATGACTTTTGCATGGCACCCTACTAACCGGTCCCCAACCATGTACCAAATTTGAGCGCAATCGGCCCAGCCGTTCTCGAGAGCTGGAAACGCCCCCTGCACGTGCGCACGTGCAGTAGCACCCTAACCGCAACACATGGGAATGCATTGCCTGGTGGGTGCCTACCTGTATGCCAAGTTTCAGCGAAGTCGCCCAAGTAATTACCGAGTTACTGAAATGGGAACAAATTTGGCACCTCTTATTGTTGTATTTTGCACGTGCACTGGGGGGTCACTCACATAAATGAAGAGTATCCGACCTTTGGTAGAAGGGATGCAGCTACCCTATAAAAATGACCGCAAGACAATCGCTCAAGCCGCTGCTGAGATATGGGCCTCTCAAAATCATTACTTTTGCAAAACTGCTTGAAAATGAACAGACTTTTCACGTGGCACGTGCCACGGCGGTCACTGAGATGCATCAAAAGTAGTCAATTACGAGGTAGAAGGGATGGGGCTATCCAGCAAAAAAGACCGCAGGCCATTCGGTCCAGCGGTTGCTGAGATATAAGCCTCTCAAAAGCGTTACAGGCCGGGCCGGGCCGGGCCGCTCATACTGAGATTTTTCCGTTATATTGAAAAGACTTCGCTTCGCTCGCTGCGCTCGCTCGCTCGTAATCATCCTACGTCTCGAAGAAGTAGGTAATTAGCTGCGCTATACGCGACACCATCAACCATCTGCAATCTGCATCTAAGCTCAGTGGCATACACAAACGCTACAGCTTCCGGTTAAAATATATTCATATAAATATACAGCTCAGGCTCGCCAATGACACACTGCTGAAACTCCGCGCCGTATTAACTCTGAAACCCGTGGCGGGAAGGTATTGCATGCCGTTGCCATGTTTCCAATCACACACTGCACACTGTGCTCTGATATTATTGCACGGTGGTCGCTGGTGACAACTGAATGCCAGGGTCTCTTCCCAGAGTTTCATGTGCTCGGAGACACCTCAGTGTAGACTGTAGAACAATCCCATCGATACGGGTCCTCATCCGTAATACGGCCGCTTATCCGTAGTAGCGTCCGCGGCGATAGTAGCTCCTCCGGTATCCCCGTCCGTAATATCTTCCGTATCCGTATCCGCCGTAGTATCCGTCGTCTCCGTAGTCGGCCGAGACGGAGCTGACGCCGACACAGACGGCGATCACCAGCACCACCAGCAGGGCGTAGATCTGACCGCGGAGGGGGGCACGGGGGTGTCAGTAACAGTATATGGTGCGTCACTGTATACCAAACGGGACACGGTACGGGCTCTCTTGAAAGTACCGCGCATCGGTGCGGAGCTGACCGGAGAGAGGCACGGGGACCGTCAGTGTACGGTGAAGGGACACACGGAGCATCAATATATGGTAAAGAGACATTACCCGTCAGGCCGTCACATAGGATACTGTGCATCAATAAGCGGTACGGTGTCGGTACCTACACCATTGGGTCCGCCATTATAAGCGCAAGTCTGTGAGGGGTCTTCCCCCTCAAAAATATTGCAAAGAGTTATATGAGATACTTGACAAACCCCATAGGCCTCAGGGATATTGGACAAAACCGCTCGGGGCTCGGAAGACCTGAGCTCTTATCTAAGCAATGGAGAGACCTTATTTCTACACTGAACAGACGTCTCAGAGGCACAGGACAAATCGCCTAGATGGGCGCTGATCACGGTCACGGCCAGTGACACTCACCGAGAAATTCATGATGCTTCAACGGCAGTAGCTCTGAAACAATTAACTGCTCACTCGACCATCTCTCTACGTTATATACTGACACAGACGCATTGCGACGATTTTCCTAACAGAAAATATACGCAAATAGTCGAGAATTGACGAGGAAAAGGCGAGGAATGCGTCGCCTGGAAGCTGTACTAAGATGCGGAGAAGGCGCTACGCCGTTGGATTTGATGATGCTCTTTGGTTGTGTTTTCCTTGCAGATAATTGCGAAACATGCAATGTCACAAAATTTCAACAACTCACTGCGTTCATTGCGGTAAAATCCACGCATAAGCCCGGTTTGATGCTTCATTGTTTCAACAATCATATTAGGAAGACGGTAAAGTATTACGTGCGTGTACTTTACTGAAAAGACATGTTTTTTGGGTGTTGGGAATATACCACACAGTCCCGATGGCAGCCCCATAGAATGATAAGATTTGTTGAAATATATCGCAACAGCGTTATAAAATCGCGCATGAAACTTTGGGAGCGCACGCAACAAGGCATACAAAGGAAGTAGTAACTCAATTCATAATACATCTGCTATGGAACACACTTCTTGGTAATGCCAACAAGTTCGAGCATAAACATGCTATTGTTCAACAGACCACGTACAACGGGTCTTGCAGGGAAAGACCCACGGTTACAGAAAGAAATCTTTGTGCGTCGGTCCTGGCAGCCTCTCATCACGCAATCGTCGCGTCTCTCTCTCTCTCTCTCTCTCTCTCTCTCTCTCTCTCTCTCTCTCTCTCTCTCTCTCTCTCTCTCTCTCTCTCTCTCTCTCTCTCTCTCTCTCTCTCTTCTCTCTCCCTCCCTCCCTCCCTCTCTCTCTCTCTTCTCTCTCTCTCTCTCTCTCTCTCTCTCTCTCTCTCTCTCTCTCTTTCTCTCTCTCTCTTCTTTGCATAGACGAGGCAATGTGAAATTCGAGAACTGCGAAACCATTTAGCTATCGAAGGAATACCCACAAAATTACAACGTTTGCGCGAGAGTAGGGCGCTTAAACAAAATAATTGTTGATTCGCCCCCGCCTCCCCCCCCCCCCTCTTCCATTTTCTCTTCAGCTGATCTAGTGGCATGAAATTTTTCTCATCGTTATCACATGATAGTTTATATAGATAATACGAGTATGTAAATATGCGATGCAGTCAGCTGGACGTTAAGTAAAAATAGTAGTGTTTATGGGGAAAGCATCCATTCCAGGCTCGGTAAATGAGCTAATTGCCACTAACTGACGACTTGAAACAAAGCTGCGCACACGAGTGTGATGTCATATCATTGTTTACCTACAAATGACATCTGTAAAATCCTACCACGCCACGACGTACAAGTTAATCATAAAACCTACGCACTTAAATGCTACGATGAATCAGTCATGCCATGCTTTTGCGTGTAGGACGATGTTTACTGTTGACGTACTTTCAGTTTTCCTCTTCGCGGTAATGTTATGCCGACGGACTTTCTTAGCGGATAACCAATTAGGGCGTAGCAGGAAAGAAGGTATAAAACGATGTTAGCACTGAGTCGCTCGCTATTATACTGCGAGCAGTCACCAACTAAACACGATGGAGTATTCGGTAAGTTTCGGCTAGTAACACGCGAAACAATAAGCAATTATGTTCGGTGCCGACTGTTAGCGAGCAGCAATTATCTTTTTGTGTCATGGGTTGAATGTTGCCGATTTGCTTTTGATAAAAAATTGTTTCAATCCATTGTTTGTTGCTTCCGCCGGGTAAGGTAAATTGGGGAAAGTTCCTTGGCGTACACACACACACACAAAATGTTTTCATATTGTAACTGTGATTGCTGATTCATGATTGTGATACAAATCGCCTCCGTGCCTTTTGCTGTGAAATTAAATTGGCAAATTAATAGTTGAAATGTTCGATATACCTACCTTACCGTTGCTTACCTATGGCGTTAATTCAAAGGCTGAATGCTATAGACCCGATCCCACATCTTTAATCTCTAGATCCCCAGTTCTGTGATATATGGTGTCTTCGTCCCCAGAGCTGATTTCCGATCTTCAACTCCAAATATCTCTGATCTCCGATCTCCAACTCTCCAGATCCCTGATCTCCGATCTCTGGCTCTCCAGATTTGTTGGTCTATGATCACTTGTTCCCCAGATCTCTTTGATCTTTGATCTGCAACTCCCCAGAGCACGTATCTCTGATCTTTAATCGTTTCCTCCCCAGATCTCTGCGATGCTGATGGCGGTGCTGGTCGCCATCTTCGTGGGCGTAACTTCCGCTTACGATTACGGTTACGACGACGGCTATAGTTACGACGACTGGTACGCTGCTCCTGCCAAGCACTGAGCCCGACCCCGTCCATGGAAGGAGGGAGGCACCAACAAGAGAGGCTTTGCCGGCGGCGGAGGGGAGACAGCGGCTCTTGATAGACGACTGAGATGCCAGAAGACACCATCCAACGTAGAAATATACCGACTAGCGCGGCTGAGCGGATGCACCGAACATACAAATATACTTTGCACCACACAGAGGGACGATGTAATAATCTATAGCACGAACGATGTTTGTCAATATACGTAGCAGCTAGCAGGTGCTGTCCTTTTTAGACACTGCAGGTGCTGTCGTTTTAAGACACCGTGGTGGAAGTTCTACTAACGAGCTATACAATTTACCCGCTCTGGGCTATTGTGCTCGCCTAAGCATAACGCAGCAAGACAATGCTGGGCCAATTCATAGCATTCCATTGATCGGTAAGCGCAGTTTTTCAGCTTGCCGTATCAACTGATGCATCAATCGTATCTATGTAATCTATGTAGATGAGATGCACCTAACAAAAGATGGTTACCATGTACTTTAAAGGGACCCTCCCACCTTAACATTAGTTTTGAGTTGAGATAGCCAAGTTTGCGGCCAGGCTCAGAAACCACCATTTATCCTGGTCGCAACCCCCCCAGCTTTATGGTGTTCAAGAAATTTCTTCCCTTTGCTTGCAGGGTGGGACCAGCGTGGTCCCTATCTCTTAACCATTACGGGAATCTGATGACGTCATCAGGCTTTCGAACGTCCGTTAAATGATTGACTAAAACGTTTTGTAGCACGCGGTGGTATATGCTGCTTTGCGCGCAACAAATGCCGCACTTTCAAATAAAGTCGCTAGGAACAGCGGAGATCCCAAAAAGTAAACAAAAGTAAAAGTCTAATATCTTGAAAACCGGTGAATATTTTTCGATGAAATTTGGTAGATATTCGTTTTTGCTCTTCCTGAACCGAGCGACATCACTTTCATGCCAATTCATTAACTTTTTTGAAGGTGGGAGGGTCCCTTTAATGATCACCATATCATCAGTAATCTTTGAAAATAAACTGTTTCTACAAATCGGCTAACTTTTTTGACATCATCAGACAGCAAAAGAAATAGTTGGCCTGACACCGAGCAAATGTGTCATCTGGGATTTTATGTCAAAAGGTACACAGACAAGTGAATTGCGGGACATTCGCGGAAAATGTTAATGCTGTTTTTGCCATGTCTATTTGGCATCATATTTATCTATATACTCAGATCAGGATCACGTGTCATCAGATCATTATAAAAATACGTGTAACTTCTTATTTACGAACCCTGTAACGTGCATTTGAGTAAAATATGACACCAGCAGAGGTCATGGCGGTGTCGTGTCAGATAAGATCTGATATAAAAAACGCACGCATGTAGCTCCATAGAGCCGACCTCTAGAAATGAGGGGACTGATATTGAGATTTACCTTGACAATTTAGGTCAGGTCATTATATTCACCAAAGGTCAACTTTAAAGTTGATTCCAAAACCCACCTATGGTGAGGCGTGTTTTATGAACACCTCATCTCGAAAGGTGAAGTGACAATGTCACATGTAATGAGTTTGGATGTAAAATAATAGAGGGCAGGTTTTGTTCAAGGAACTCCGATGTCAGAAATTTGCCACCGTTTCCCTAGAATCGAGCTTCTCAATCAACAAAAATGATGAGAACCACAAGGGTCGGTCACCCCTCCATGAAAACTGATTTAGTGTGTTGTTTAAACTTTAAATTGATGAATAGAAAACAGTAAGGATATTGCTTAGCATAAAATTCAAATATCATGTCAAAACATGATAAAACAGATCAACAGACGTTCATCTACAACAAATGGATTTAAAAATAACATAATTTAAAAATAGTTTTCCCGGGAACAACAGGGATAGGGATAACAACTAATTCCTCTCCTAGTAAAATAAGTATTCCACAATCCACATATATGTATAAAATGAACTTTCTTAGGAGTCATCCGCCGTTGGTTTTTGCACATGATTTCTTTCCAAAGACAGCAATAATAAACGGCCTTATGTGACCTTAAGGACAAGGCATCTGCCAGCTAAAGCAGTTAGAAGTTCTAGAATAGAAAAGGCAATTCTGGAATACAACGCACTTGATTATGTAAGAAGCATATACAATATACATTATACATCAGTGTCAGAAAAGTGGTTTGGGGATCTAAGTTCGCGGAACAAAATGTTTAGCTGCTCACGGAACAAAAATCATAAAGTAAGGCACTGTAGGGCCATGCGTATTGTTCTAGGTATGCTTTAAGTATACAAGATATTTGCCAGAGTCTCAGTCAGAAACAGCAGCTTCTACATATAAAATAAAGGTTCAAGGAACATAGCAGGTTGTGGCCTTACAGCCCAAGTGTTAGACTTATTTATAATTAGTTAGCAAATCTGGACATGCAGGTAATGGATGACCACTGATGCTCAAAATCATTCATAATGGAAAATATACAAATTATTCTTAAAATTGTGAATGCAGTGAGAAAAATGAATGGGGTATAAAAATATACACAACATCCAGAATATGCTTTTCAAATGACACATTTTCACATGAAACAAAAACTGCTAAGTATATTGAAATACTATTTGAAATACCTTTAAGCAAAATCAAAACATAGCCACGTGGACTGGTACCTACCTACCTAGATATTATCAGTATAAATGGCCTTGTACCTACCTATACCTATCTAATGCAAGTTTGACAAATTTGACGCAATCCAGCTTGAAGCAAATAACCAACAAATAACGAACCACAAAGACACAAAAACATGCCAGCACTTAAAGAAAAAAGGTCTTGTGCAAGACAACCCCCAAAAACCATGCCACAAATGATTATAATCAATAATAGATAATTGCCCACGCGCTTGCCCAAACTGAAACGGACGCCTCGCACCTCGAGCCTTGAGAAATGGCGCGGAGGATGACTCGGCGAGGGAAATTAGAGGAAAGGGATTTCCTCTTTACTGGTTTTCAATTTGATAAAAATGATTCAAATTGATGAAAACTTCAGAATAGCATATCATATTTAAAAAGACTCTAAAATAAATGAATATTCGACCTCAATCTGGCTGCTTTATTTCAAATAATATACTTATAAGCAAAGGGATTTTATGCCCTAGACAAACATTACTTCATGTAAAAGTGATATCAGCATATGTCGGTATTATACCTGCAATCGGCATCAACTGGGCAATAATTTTATGCTATGAAAAGCGCCGTCTCTCAACGATTCTAACGGTACCCAATTTTTTATAAATACAAGTCGAGATTGCTTAAACGTTCCAAATTAAGTGAGTTGTTCCGTGACGAAACATGGTGACGGCGTTTCAATAAAACTATATGAAAACGTCCATAAAAATATAAAAATTTGACATAGAAACAATCAGAATTGAACAATCTATGATGCCATACCTAACTTGAACCGATTGCAAGCCTACTTCAACCTTTATTCTACCCTTACTTTTGTTCCGTGTCACGGAACAAGAATATGGTAAACTGAGAAATGCACTGCCATTGAAATGGCAATTTATGCGCCAACAGCGTATAAAGACTTTTATCGGTCGTCGCCAACTTAAGCGCTTGTCAACCTGCGGCGGCTGAGCCGGCGCGGCGGCGCCGCCGCAACCGCAGTTGACGCAGCGACAGGCGACGCAGAGCCAGCAAAAAAGTCGTTGTTCGCTGTAGTTATTGGTCTTATGTCTTCTACTGGAGTCTCACTGCGGCAGCACGCCTTGTGAAACATTGCTGGCATCCAGGTGGGTGATTACGTTCCGATATCTGGGACATACTCTCTGCTGATGGCAGTATAGACCTAGACGCGTTGTCTCGGTTTACCATCGCCTGGGCCCTGGTTGCGTGCTTTTTGTCGCCATTTTACCGCTCTACGGCGTCGGTCGCCACCGGCCGTTCATGCATACTCGTCGAGTTCCATTTTGCCCCCATTTCGGTGTATGACATGCGAGGCACGCTGCTCTGACCCAGGCCCGGGCCTGGGTAGGGCCGCGTCCCCCCTTCTTTGTTTCGCTCCCCTCCCCTACCCAGTGTTGTCGCAGAGCGTCATCCCGCCCCGGAAGGACGGATCGTATGGGCGTCGTGGCTCAAGTGTAGAGCGCTCGCTTCTCACCCGGGCGACACGGGTTCGATTCCCGGTACAGGATCGCTTGCGTATTTCGCTTGGATGGGGTAAGGGTGTGTATTACGTTATTACCGTGAGGGGCGAGAAACGTTCTTCCTTTCTCTCTTTCTGCCCATACCAACAGCAGTTGTTCCCGGCCAATTACCGGCGGACATCATACCCGCCATAGCCCCCGCGACGTGTTCTTTATTTAAGCCTGCAGATGATTTTCCTGCTGTCACCGGAGGTGGGTGGACTCACGGGGGCTGGTGGACGTTGTGCCCGCCGAACTGGCTGACGTTATACCCGCCGGGCTTGCGGATGTTGTACCTGCAGGCGCCTCTGCGGCTTATTGGTGGCCGGCATCCAAGAGTTTGGCACCGACTCTCATTATGGCAGTTACCGGGTTTAGCCGTACGTTCCCGGACTAGTAACGGGTACGGCACTGCTCCGTTCCGTCCACATGCCGTTGGTTACGTCCCTCCTTGCCTTTTCTTCATTTTCGTTTCAGCATGCTGCTGTTGGGGGGCGATAGCTTTGCTTTCTGGGCGGCCCGGCGTTGCACGCTGGATGCGTCGATATCTCGCCGCAAACTTGCGTGTGTTGTAAGACTTTATTGTCTTATGGTGGTGGCTGTACCCGATCCGGTAAGTTCCTGGAATGGCGGAGATATCTCCTGCCGTGATATATTTCCTGAATGGCGGAGGTTGCTCCTAACCTGGTATATTCCCGGAATGACGGAGGGTGTGCCAGCAGTGTTATATTTCCGGACCGGCGGAGGTGGCCCCCGCCGTGATATTTTTCCAGGATGGCGGAGGATGTTCCCGCTCTGGTCTATTCCCGGCATGGCGGAGGCTGTTCCCTCCACGGTATATTTCCAAGATGGCGGAGGCTGTTCCCGCCCTGATATATTCCCGGAATGGCGGAAGTTGTTCCCGCCCTGGTGTATTCCCGGTATGGCGGAGGCTGTCCCCGCCGTGGTTTCTTCCCGGAATGGCGGAGGCTGTTCCCGCCCTGATATATTCCCGGAATGGCGGAAGTTGTTCCCGCCCTGGTATATTCCCGGATTGGCGGAGGCTGTTCCCGCCGCGGTATATTCCCGGAATGGCGGAGGCTGTGCCAGCCGTGGTATATTCC